GATGATATTACGGGCTCTATAAGAAAACTTTCTGGGTTCAGTTTCTGCTCCCACCATCTATTAGCCAAATGAATTTGGTCCTCTTACTAACGTGTCTGGGTTACAGATTTCTCCTTTGGAATTTGGGTCTGATAACTGTTCTCATTACATGATGAGACCCAACAATATATGTAAAAGGCTGAGATAATACTAACCACAAAAACACTTGATTTTTGCTAGCTATTATTGTTTCAAAATTAAACCAGAAATTGGGATACTTTCTGCATTGCCAGAAAATATGTAATAATTACTGATTACTTGAGAACCAATGGTTCATACCAGCCTTTATAAATCTTCACAGTAAATACCATAAAACATTACTCTGTTGTATAAAGAAAGGCCAATGCATTTGGAGATGTGCTTTTTTCCCTGAAGAAACTTGCTTTATGAGAACATCTTATATCTCTGCCTACTAATCCCTTATTTGGGTCTTTGTCCTTGGGTGAAATCCCTTATTGACATAAGACTAATACTTTAGCTATCTAAAAATTCAGCTCTCTGGAAAACTCTCTCTGGACGATGATGGCTCAGCACCAGGAAATAAACAGGCCACTCTAGGCAAAAAAAGAAAAAGTAGATGTCAGAAAACCTATGCCCCAAATTCTTACTCTTTACTTATAAAGGCTTTTTTTTTTTTTTTTTTTTAGTCATTCACTCAAAGTTTATTTGTCCTCATTTTATACATAGTTCCTATGGAAAAGTGATTATCTGGATTCCTGTGAAGGAAATTAGGAAGAAATAAATTATAAACGGGAAAACTGATCTTATCTATATCATCAAGAATTTAGCAAATGGCTGATGACAACAAAGGAGATAGAAAATTTCAGAAGGCAGAAATGATGTAAAAGCATAAATCCTAGAACCTTTCAGAGCTATTTTTCAATGAGATGGATCTTCCTTTTTACCTCAATAGATTCTGATGTTATCTAAGATTATAATATACAGAATTAATAATTGATATTTATACATGATCTAAATCATCAAAAATAATTGGACCTGTTTACCTTACTTTGTGTGAGAAGTTAGAGAAGGAATATACCAGATTTGCCAAATTGGTGGCCTGCAGGAGAACTCTGACTTGGTGAATATAATTGGTTAGTTTATTTAAAACAATTGAATTACTTACTTGCCAATATTTAAAAAATCAGAAACTTTCACCTAAAATTGGCTCCCATTTCTTGGAAAAATTAGAAAATATGGTGATAATGAACCTATGTACTTATTTTCCAAAAGACAACTGTATGGTAACTCTCATATATTATCAATGGCATTAAAAATATCGTCACCGCTTGCAATGTGGGGGCTTTTGGGGGCAGGAAAAGAATAAATGAAACAAGATGGGATCAGGAGGGAGACAAACCATAAGTGACTCTTAATCTCACAAAACAAACTGAGGGTTGCTCGGGGAAGGGGGGTCGGGAGAGGGTTATAGACACTGGGGAGGGTATGTGCTATGGTGAGTGCTGTGAAGTGTGTAAACCTGGCGATTCACAGACCTGTACCCTGGGGATAAAAATACATTATATGTTTATTAAACATATATGTGTTTAATATATAAATAAAACATATATATGTTTATTAAAAAATAAAATAAATTAAAAATTAAAAAATATCGTCACCACTTTGGAAAATTTTGAAAGTTTATTATAATGTTATTATAAAATTTTGAAAGCTTATCATAAAACTAAACTATGGCCCAAAGATTCTACTCCTAATTTAACCTAAAGAAATCAGTGCATATGTCCACAAAGATTATTTATATAAGAATGGTCCTAACAACTTTAGTCATAATAGCTTCAAGCTGGGAACAACCCAAATGCCCATCAACAGGAGAATGTATTAACAAATTATGGTACAGCCATTCAGTAGAATGCAACCCTAAAACAACAATAAACACAAAAACAAGTAAGTGATACACAGCAACATGGAGAAAACTCAAAACCAGTATATGGAGGGGAAAAAAAAAAAAAAAGCCAGGCATAAAAAGTACACCCTGTCTGATTTCATATGTAATGAAGTTTAAGATAAGAAAGATTATCTTACAGTGCTAGAAATCAGAATAGTAATTGTCTTTGGGGGATCTGAGGTGGAATTGCAACTGGAATTGACTGGAAAGGGAATTTTGTGGGCTGCTGGAAATAATTGTTTATTTTGATTTTGGTGGTGGTTCTATACATTTGCCAATATTAAGCTCTATGCTTGTCTGCTGTGGATTTTACTGGAGATACCTTATGTGCCAACAAATACAATCAACCTAAAGACAAGAGAAACAAACTCATAATTAAAGCCGAAAAGCCGCCATCTCCTTTAGCCATGTCATACTCTGTCTGCGTGGGTCTGGTGGGTATCAAGTCTGTAACTCTAAGACAGTTTTAGCTACCTGGAAAACTCAGCTCTTCCTGATAACTAATTCCTTCAAGGTTCTAGAGAGTGACGATGCTTAGCTGTTTATCCTTGCATGTTTTGCTCAACGTGGCTTTCTGAGCTGCTTTACTTTGGGTGTTTCAGTTGGCTATCTGTCCTCATGTATCAAATGATTAACTGTTATCACTCAGAGCATTCCAAACATTTTAAATAAATAAGAGCACTGCTTGACACAGCAGGCAGCAAGCTTAGGTGAAATAATAAAACTCATTACCCTGAAGATTTACACAGATTCAAAATAATAATCAAAAATAGCTGCACACTGACAAATACAATTATATATTTCAGATCTTTAGAGTTTAAATCATAGCTCAGAGATCCATAACAATTTCCTAAAAGAAGCTATGGATGATTTCAAGTGAATGACAAGAAGGTCAACCAGTTCTCTGTCATAATACATTCTTTGTTATTTCGATCAGGGACTAAATTCTAAGATGAAAGGATTAAATCTCTGACCAAGAATGGCATTTTAATATTAAACAAATTCAGTCTCCACCAGAATAGAGAATTTCTTGATAAAACCTTAACATAAATCTTTGTGTTTTTCAGAAATTTAAGAGTATGCGCACACACACACACACACACACACACACACACACAACCCCCTTATGTGTCAAATTCATTTGCATTCAGAAGCATGATGCCATTTGAAACTTTATTAAAAGAGGATCTATTCAAGGTCAACTACTATACTTGGTAACAAGCATTAAAAGTAGTTTATGAGCAACACATGTTATTAATTAATAATGCACATGTAGTTAAGTGTTGAGATTAAGCAATATTTATGCAGGTAAGTATGACTCATTCTTTTCTTAGTGATTTATGAGACAGAATTTTTATCTAACAGACATTTCCAGGTATCTAATCAACCAGAGGTTTTGCATTTTCATCATGAGGTAGAGATGTTTCAAATTTAATTACAACTCATTGACCTACAGTAGTGCTTTCAGGGTTGATTTCCATAGTCATCACCAGCAAGTGGCAGCTAACCAGTAATTAAAAGAATTAAAATCTAAAGATTTATAAATAATCTGGTAATATAGTAGGCTTTTTAGGTTTTCTAAGATTCTTTTTCTTAGAAATTTGGAGATGTTACTATAAATTCACATTGCTGTCTGGTCAATCTATGTCCTCACAAGTTAACCATGTCTATGCAGATCTATAGCATCCCTTCATGCCCAGAATATTCTAGTAGGTTCCCACTTGCTGTTCCTGTTACCAGGCACTTCTTCCTGAGCACTGCCCACATGGAATAGATTCATCCACCTCAAAGACCATTTTCACAAGTTGTCCTGACATTCAAGATGTTTGTAATGTTAGAAAGCAGTATAAACCCCTTCTAAGACCACAGAGATTCCACGTCAGGCTCTGCCATGATATAGCTATGCAATCTTATTTAATGTTAAGGTCATTTTAACTTTTGACTTTATTTTTATCACATAAACAGATAGAGTAAGTAGATACTACTTGCTATACCTACCTCATTTTTTTGTAAGTAGGCACAGTGCAATCAAGTTTGGCTGCATATAATGAATGCCACAAAAAGTCTAAAAAGTACCAATTTCTGTACCTGAGATACTGGTAGTATTTAAAACTCCACAAGTGATTCTAATGCATAATCAAGATTGAGGAATAGTGACATTGTTGAAGGAAATCATAAAAAAAGCCTGTTGAGGTGGCAAATTAGTAAATTCCCTAGAAAAAAATTAAACATTTTTTATCAATTTAACTCTAAATAATCTTCAGAGTCTTTATTCAGCCTATTGCCTTTCTATCCAGACTTTCTCCTTAATAATGTCCTTTTTGTGTACCCATGGCCATGATGGACCAATTCTACATGGCATTTGTCACATTACCATAATGCATTACAATTTTTTTAAGAATTTATCTCCTGCCACATCTGAAACATCCCTGTGTATTTTGGTATGTAACTTTTGTCATAATATGTGTTGAAAGAAATGATAGAATGGCATGTTTTCTTGGTTTCACCTTAGCAGACATAAATGCTCCAGAACTGTATGTGCTAATTCGAGATATAGATAGATAGAGATAGATAGACACGAGATAGAGAGATGAATGAGTTTAGATATTTGACAGCTTGACTGCAGTTAGCTGCAGATATTTTTTTTTTTTTACCCTTGGGATTTTACAAGGAAAACACACTGTAGAGTGGATTGTAATGCAAGAAAACTACACTTATTAGCGATTGACAGCTGTAGGTTTCTGTCATCTTCAAGAAGGAAAGATGTGTGGTAATAAAGGAACCCATCCATAAATCTGTATATGACGGAGGAGACATTCTGTTAGAATTCAGTACAGATGGGAGCACTTCAGCACATAGCAAGCAGAGCTTCTCCTTTTGACTGTCTCTTAAACACAGTTCCTGTCTCCTAAGGGCTTCAGAATTTTGTGTAGTATTTGAAAAATCAACCACATGCTTCAACTACAAAGATAATGCCATCTCTGGACATCACCGACATGCATTCTTCTTCAACGCTGGTGAATCTGCATCAAGCCATTTATAATTGTTTACTCCATTTCCCCAGCAGTCAAAAGCAGGCACTTCTGAAACAGTGGTTTGGGATTGCGGTTAACATCTGGAATGGGAAAGAGGAGTGACTAACACATCTGCTTGACACTTGAGACACTTCTTTTTATCTTTTAATGCCAAACTTACTGAATGAGTGGGGTCTATTTATTGCCTCCATTCCCTACAACCTAATGATTTCTTTCACTAAGCCAGTGCGATTGCTCACGGAAATGGTTTCTGACAATGTCTTCATTTGTCAATTGCAGCAGTTCTTTCTTTGTCCTTACTTTTTCTTGATGTTTTGGTACATTTAACACAGTTGTCCACTTCCTCTATCACTTTTCCCTGATATCTGTGACAATAGTGTGTTTTCAAGTATGTATTCTTACTTCTTTCCTGTTTCCTCTTGGGGTTTATTTTCTTCCTTCTCTAGAGGAGCTAAGGATGTGGTAATTTTCTCCACATTTTTATCTATGTCTTAACTACTTTCAGTATTTTATCAATTCACATCTCCAACCATCATTGCTAAGAAAACAGCCTGAAAGAGAAAGAAAGAAAGAAAGAAAGAAAGAAAGAAAGAAAGTCACAAACCTCCCATGAAATTTATCTACTGAATTTTCATTTGAATGCTTGACTGAATTTAAAATAACAGGCTCATCTCTGAACTTCAGCGTTTTCATATTCAATTAATCTCTGATTTTTATTTTTTCCTTTGCAATCTTTGTCAAATCTTTTTCTCTAGCTGCACTGCTTCCAGTCTAGCACGGAATCTCTCCTACCATTTTTGATGTGTGAAATAGCATTCCATAAGAAAACTGTAATTCCTACATTCTTTCATTTCTTTTGATTATGACCATCTAATTAATATTTCTAAAATATAAACTATATCACATTATGTCCTCATTCAGTATCTTTCTGCAGTATCTTTCCTTTGCTCAGTATAAGTTCCACAAAGTAGAGAATTTATCCATCTTAGTATTATATCCTTGTTATTAGGTAACTAGTAAATAGTAGATTTTCAAGACAACTGTTGAATGAATAATGTAGAATTAATTCTAAATGCAATCTGAATTTAATGTTTTCCACAACTGACCCCAGTTTATTTCTTTAAACCTATCTTTCCATACTCCTACGAATCCTAAGTTCTAGTTACTCTCCAAATACACAATGTACATCTCTTCAATAATTCCCTTTCAAGAGCTGTCAAAATGATTTTTCTTAGATCTCTTCCTAGATTTCTGTCTTCAAAATCCTGTTTTTACTTAAAATTCTTAAGTGTGCCTCCTTTCATCAGTTCCATCTGAAAATGGCAACTCGTATTTGTTTACATTTATCGAAGGTTTTCACTTTACTATGTGTTTTGCATAGATAGCCCTTTATATTTCACAATCACCCTGTGAAGTAGGTCTAATTCCTCCTCCTCAACAACTGAGGACATCACAACTTGGAGAAGTAAAGTCGCATAGCAGTTAAATTACAGAGAGCTCAGATCTGAGCCTTGAACGGTCCAACTACAGAGCCTAGAGTCTCAGTTCCCATAGCTTTCACAGTCATGACATTCTCCTCTGAGCTCCTGGTATGTGGTCTGTATTGCTCACTTAGCATTATTCATATTTCCTTGCATGATTGTTTAATTTGTCATATGTATTAACCCTGTCTCTCAAATGCAGAGAATAGATCTGAATAGAGATATGAATAATAATTACTAAAGTGTCATTACCGACTCATGGGATTTCATTTAGATCAAAACATACACTGTTGGCCTGGTGAACTAACTACCGAATAGATATTACCTGTTCAGTGCTTTATCCTAACATGAGCATTAAATCCACTTGGCAAAAAATATTTTCAGAACTGCAGTAGATGTAAAATAAGAACATCTCTTTATTTATGTAAATAATTAAAAATAAATGTCAGGTATGCCCCATTCCTACTCATTTAAGTCATTTTAATGATACATGAAATATAAAAGGAGATTTTGTTAAAGGTCTCTAAGGAGAAAAGGGCAACACCACTAAATAAAGAAGGATGATCATGCTGGGGCAAACTTGAAAGGAGATGGCATTTATACAAAATGCAATTTACTTTGACAGTAATTTTCTGAATTTCGCTGGTTATTATTGAAGATATATGTGTGTTTGAGTAAGAATGCTCCCTCTTTCCTCTAGCCAGCTGCTCTGTTTGATCCTACAGTGAAGTCACCATCCTGTGTTAATGGCTTCACAGTTTGTTCCTGGGGAAGAAAAAAATTATTATGATGTCACAAATCTGTCATTTTGACTTCACTGCAGGGTCAGGTTGTGGGAGAGAATGGGTTGTAAAGGATAAAATCCTTCAGGTGGAAACTTTTTCTCCTTATAATAAGAAATATTGTTAGAACAAGCACTTAAAATCAAGTAGACAAAAGGGTATATGACTTAAATGTTCACAGGTATCATGTTAGAAATAATCCATCTGAAATTCTCTTACTTTTAATGATGTCAGGATAAATTTTTTTCCCTGTACATCCAAGTGGATCTTTCTCTTCACTTTTCTACATATACCTTACAGGTCCTGGTATCATAGGAAGAGTTTCCTTTTCTGGATTTGTAATAAGCTCTTTGAGGAATCACAATAGTATGCCATCTTTTTGCATAAGTACCAAAGTGCATCGTCCCAGCCCTTTTAAATTAATGCATACCAACTTCAGGCTTCAGATGTCAGAGTTGCAGCAACTTTGCTCCTCCTTTCTCAAATCCATCAAAAACAATGACCAGAAATTTAAAAGATCTTCTAGCTAAAATGAAACAAAGAAATGGCTAAGATCTCAAACTACAAACTAACTGTATGCCTACCAAACGATGTCAAATCTAGGCCAAAAGAGGGAAGAATGCTGAGAGCCAACACACGCCTTTTTGAACATGGATGGATATCGATTTTTCCAACAGTAAACATTACAATCCAGAAAGGCATATCCAGTGGCTCTTTGATTAAAGATGACAACATCCAGGGGGTTATAGTGGCTGCAGAAAACTACAGAACCTCCCCATGGAATATAAGTTTAATAGCATCGGATAGCAGGGGAGGTGGCACTGAAGTAGAAACCAAACTGGCACTCACAATTAGTCTTGACTCAGCTGCACACTCTTTGAGAGAGTGCCAGAAGCCAAGCAGGGAGAGGAAGCAGCAGCACAGGGAATATCTGACATAAAAGGATTCTCTGTGAGTCACAATTACTACTTGCACGCAAAAATGAGTCATGCATTCAGGACAAAGGGGAAGACTGATTTGGTGTGAGAATGTTTGAGACAAAAATTTCAGTCCAGTCTCTGGACCTCCCTATCTTATAGCTCAGCTCATTCTCCCCAGTCCCGTATCTTATTTTCGGCAGGTAGCTAACTTCATTCAAACTTGAGTAAAACTAAGAACCAATGGATAAACTATGGGACTAAATGGAGGAAGCAGACAGAAACAAATGGTAGTAAACTTATAAGAATTCTTACTTAAAAATGCACAGGAAGAATTTAAATAAATAGCTTATTCTATTCTCAAAGAAATTAAAAGAGAAATATAAGGGTCCGAATAGAAGACTCCATATAATAGAAGAAAGTTAGTTCAAAGCAAGCTGTTGGTCCTCAGAAAAGAAATATAAGGAACAAATAAAACATACTGAAAATAGTACCATATAATAAGGCAGTTTAAAATATAATAAAAATGATTGAAAGAACAAAGATATAGTGGGTAGAATGGGGAAAAACATAAAATTAAATGGAAAATAACAAAAACAAAAAAGTAGTAATCAATGATGATAAATTAATGAGATGATAAATGAATCACTCATACATATTTCGTATTCCTGAGTAAAACAGATGGAACAATGAAAAAAGCTTTTGAATACATATTAAGAAAAAGCCCCTGCAAAAAAAAAAAAAAAACACATTTTAAATTTACAGCTCAAAAAGGTATTTGTGTTGTAGGAAAAGATGATACAGAATTATCAGTGGCAAATTTGGTAAAATTACTAAATTTCAATATCAAATAAATAATCATATAAACAACCTGGAAGAAAATAGATTAACAATCAGACTGCCCTCAAATTTTTATAAGAGAATGTAAGACCAGAAGACAATATATAGTATAATTAAAGTTTTGAGAAAAGGATACTGTGGCCCAAGATTTATTTTTTTTAAAGGATTTTACTTATTTATTTGGCAGACAGAGATCACAAGTAGAGAAGCAGTCAGAGAGAGAGGGAGAAGCAGGCTCCCCGCTGAGCAGAGAGCTCGATTTGGGGCTTGATCCCAGGACCCTGAGATCATGACTTCAGCCGAAAGCAGAGGCTTAACCCACTGAGCCACCCAGGCGCCTCTCTCTCTCTCTTTCTCTCTCTCTTTTTTTAAAGGATTAATGGCCCAAGATTTTATACCCAGTCCTGCTGTCCTTTAAGTACAAAAGGCAATAGATAAATCATCTCATACATGGAAAAATTTAGGGAATGCAGCAACAATGGAAAAAAGAAATTGTTTAGAAAAACTATTGGCTAGATTTTGCCCACCAGAAGATGAATCAAAATGAACCTGAAAAATGGAGAAACAATGTAAAAAACAAACAAACCCAAAACCCATAAACAAATAGTAAGCTCTGAATCTGTTAAGATATAAAGTTATAAGTAGAGTGGGGCTTTTCGCTAAAGGATGGAATTTAAATGGTATCAAGTATACAATAGAAAAAATAAAGAAAAATCATGGAATATAGTATGGGAAAGGAAATGGGGAAAAGTCCAATACTAATTTATTCATCTGTCACAATTGGCATTCAATGAATTTGTCTGTATTTGAAACTTGTAGTTAAAAAAATAGGATTACAATATTTTAAACATTTTTATTAAATAAACAAGCTTTTTAAGGAACTAATACTCTCTGCTGAAGAAACATTTACATAAATTCTAGCATTTTATTTCCACTTGATTTTTTCCTCTCTTAAAATAAAAAATTTAATTACATATTTGTATTCGAACAGTTTGTATGATGTGATTCCATTACGCCAAAATTATTACTAAAAGCCTTATATCTTTCTACATCTAGTTGCCTAAGAACCGGCCACACAGGTCTCTTTAGGTAAAAATTCTGTGGCATCTAGTTCTAATTTCATTATGTCGTTATTTACTATCTTTCATCTATGTAAGGACATGAAGAGATGGATGAAGTTAATTTTAACTTAAACAATATTTACTTTGTTTAAATTGAATTAACTTTGTTTAATTTTGGTTAATCTGGCTGGGGAGAGTAGGAATAACATTTTACTCTATTATTTTTTCAACATTGTTTGACCTTTTATTTTTATTCTGATTTTTATTTTAAAACCCATACTGAATAAGACAGCAAGAAAGTGTGTCTTCCACAGTTTCAAACATTCACATAAGAAAATCTTTTATTTGATTTGAATAAATAGTTATTGAGTGATTGTGACTGCAAATAGCACAATCTGAAAGTTTCTACATATTGCTTTGGAAGTCTTACTTCCTAAAATTCATCCCTCCCTTAGTTTTAACCTCATTATTCTGTCTCCTTCATGGACCGCTTTCCTTTGTCTTCATTTCTAGATTCCAACTTTGCTCTAGCTCCTTTTCCTACAAGTAGAATTTCATCAAGGCTAGTCACAGATTTCACCTTTTCTCTGTGCTCACTTTCCACCAAAGTCCACAGAAAAATATCCTTCTAAGAAGATGGCCATCTCCTCCATTTCTCCATCCCTACTCCCTCTCCCAAGCTCTAGTTTTTCCTTGGGTAGGTGCATGAAACTTTTCATTTTAAGTTTCTTCCCTCTCCCCAAGCTCAACTTGGTTAAAATTGATTTATCAGTTTCCTTAAAAACAACACACACAGACATGCACACATCAAACTAATGAGAACAGCAACAAAACCTTATTCTTCCTCTCAAAAAGATATTTATTGAAGTCTGTTAACTGCCAAATGTTTCAGATGGAGCTATCTATATTAACATTCTAGTTCCTCACCTCCCACTCAGTTCTTATCTGACAATAATTTGGATTTTATTCATTCCCCTCTTCCTAAACTACTCTCCTCAAGGCCACCAATACCCTTCCCATAACTAGATCCAGTAGGAGGTGTTTTAGGTTTCAACCTGTGTATCTACAAAGCAACCTTCAATACTGTTAACCACTCCCTCCAAGAAATAGTCCCCTTCTTAATTTTCTCCCGGTATGTCTTCCTCCTTTTTAACTCTAACAGTTAACTTCTTAGTCTCCTGTGCCAGCACATCCTCCCTACTCGACTTCTGAATCCTGCAGATTTCCAAGGGTTGCTTTAAGCTCTGTTAAGTCTCTCACTGTAAACTTTCTTTCCAGTGGATATCATCCATACCTATGACTCATCTGTTTGTTGGGGACCTCTACATTTAGATCTATAGCCTAGACCGCTCCTCTGAGTGTCAGACACATATTTCTGTCTTCCGACTCAACATTTCCAGTAGGAATCTCAAAGACACATCCAGCTCTGTTTTTCCAGGAATGAGCTCATGATTTCCTCTTCCAAACCTGGGCCCACACTGTTCTCTCTCCCAGGAATACTCTTTCCATCATTTGCCTAATTAACATCACTCTCACAGAGAAACATCCTTGGACCACCTCAGCTCCCCCAGGTACTCTTGTTGCATGAGCTCATAGCTGCCTCTGTTTCCCTTTATAAGCCTATCAGAGTTCATAATTATGTGTTTGTTATTTCGTTACTATTAATGGTATTAAGATTGGTATATTATATATACCAATTGGTATATATAATATACCAATCATTATATACCAATTATATACCACTGTTATTATATACCAATACCAATATTGGTTTATTAATGTAATTAATATTGGTAATATTAATTATATTAATATTGGTAAATAACCAATATTAATTGGTTAATTGATTAACGTCAATCTTCATCTCAAGAATATGAGTGTACATGTCTATATAAGATGATATGTATAATATAATACACATACATTTAATATGTATTAAATAATAAATATATAACATATATGTATATATGTTCATATATTTGCAATATTTATTCTACAAGTATATATAATTAGTATACTTATATATTGGTTATTTGATATCTGGCTATCTATCTTCCTCTGAAGATTATGAACTCCATTGAGCCCCCATGGACTTGCACAGCATATGGCAAACAGTGTACCCTCAAATATTTGTTAAAAGAATACACTTTTTGAATAAATTAATAAGTGGCAGAGCATTCTCTCTGGTATCCAGTCTTTAAGTCAAAAAACATCTTTGTTTTTTGCTTCAGCCTCATGCTATCTATTCTCTATCTAAACACCTTGCCTAGTCCTCTTCTTCCTATTTCTATTTCTACCATTCTGGTTCATTTCCTAATCACCCTATGTTTAATCTATTGCAAGTGAAAGTTTGGTCCCTGTTCTCCTAATCTATCCTTTATAACACAGAGAGATTAAACATTTAAGAATTATGCTTTGCATCTTCTGTTCTCTCATACAAAAAACTTTCAACATTTCTAATTAATTACTAAAGAAAAGTCCACATTTCTCAGCTGCGATCTAGTTCAAGACGCTGACACAGCCAAGCTATCTTCTTATTGTCCTCTTAAAATGGTTTGTACAGTTTAGTACTTTTGGTGCCACAGTTCCTCTTTCCGGAATGTAAATCCCCCTCTCCCACCTCCACAGTACATATGCACGTACTACTCCATACTTAATAACATTCTACCAAACATCAAGCCCAGCGGTAAAACTATGGAATTTTCCCCAATTCCTCAGCTAAAAATTTTCTCTTCCTCATGTGATACAGTGTTTGTCCCACACAATACAAGATATTACATCAGTCATGATTTTTAATCATATGTATATGATTTGTTTTTGAGTGCCAGTGGTTTATTTTCTTGTGTTTTTTTTTTATTCTCTCCCCAAATATTTCTGTTGTATCCTGAGAGACAACAGATTTTAAATTTCCTCAATTTGGCATCCATATTTCCAATGCCTATGTGTTCTGAGTTTGCAAGTAATGAAAGAATTCTGATATTTGCCATTTAGATATATATACGTAAATATATCTGTATCTCCATCTCTATCTGCATCCATTTGCATAGGTCAATTGTGTGTGTCTCTCTATGTATCTAGTCTTAACGTACCTCCACATCT